CACTCGAGATCTTTGAGCTTACGTGTTGGACCCAAAGGTTGAAGGAATAAACCTCAACACGTGTATTTAGCTAACATGTATCTGTCTATTATTTTTTCTGAAGTTCCATTAAGTTAGTTATACAAAGGTATCATAACCCTTTAGCTTAACACAACTCCCTCTATGTTAATTTGCATATCTGTATCCTCATTGTCTTCATTTCTATTTTCTTTGTTCATTTTAGTATCACCCATCTATTTTAATTTTTTATTAAGAAGCCGTTTATTTTTTGAATCAATTTTAACTCAAATGCTACCATTAATGAGATGGAATTGTTTCATACTCATAAAGGTTTTTTTATACGGTGTATATGATATTACGAATGTTTTATTTGGACTGTTTTCAGTCTCAGAGCAGACCAGACTTGGATAGTTATAAAATACACAGAGACCAGACGTTTATCAGACAAAACCAGACCAAATCAAACCAGATCAGTAAATTTCAGTTCAACTAAAAACATCCTACGTATATAATGTGTAGTATGAAGCAATGCCATTTTTTCAGAAACCAACCTTTTGAAGATACACTTAATTATAGATGTCTACATCTTCACGGATGTCAATTGGCAAGTTAATCCTCGGTGAGGAAGCACATGTGACTTATGTCCGACTATAGAGGTGGAGAGCGGGAGAGGCACAACTCGCTCTAGACTTTTAGGGACAAATGGGATTAACTTAATTTTACACTTCCCTAGTAATCATAGAAAAGACTACAACTTCAATATGAAAAGTAAAACCTACTCCATCCGTCCCATAAAACTTGGCCGTCTAAAAAAACTTTGTCATTTTCCTTTAGAGTAAGGAATATGTGGCTAAAGTTATTTCTCTCTCCTCTGCACAAATTTCAACCACACATTTTTTACTTTTTTAATCTACGTGCAAGTCAACTTTGATCAAATTTTGTGGGATTGAGGGAGTATTTGGTAATTAAAACCTTAAGCCGAAATAGGACAAATTCGACATAAAGGGACATCAAACTAAACCTATGGTTGGTGTACTGTACAAGAATGTGTGCAGAATAACATATAAGAAGCAAAATCAATTTGTTAAATCACTTACGGCCTTACGGGAAACAATTTCGAAGTGATGCCCTCTTGTAAACCTTGTTTGTATACAAAATAGTTTTGCAGCCATAAGACCATAACGATTGGTATATGCCCTGGAAAACGGCTATGCATATAGGGAGTATGAAAATTGGAAAAGACCTAATTCACCATTTTCACATTAATTAATGGTGAAACGGGAACAATGATGCGGGAAGTGGACGGATGAGGATAACACCGTTAAAGAATGTTATAGCAGGCTAAATTAACACACACGGAAAAAACAAGGGCACTAATCAGGAGTACATCGTATAAAATACATAGTACAACCACATGTTGCATACTTTTACACCAACATATTTTTTATACCTAAAATGTGCTAACTTTCATTGGTGTTTATAAGATTTTAGATTAAAGGAAAATGAAAAGTCTAATTCCTTGTTACATACTCATACTATTTGGTGATGGTGCCACAAAACCTCATATGAGTACTCCATAAAATGCTCATATGGGTCTTATTACAATTTTTTAGTAAACGAATTGTGAAATGATGCCACGTACTTAAGTTGACTCAGAAATGATAGGTTTTTTTCTATGATCATATTTAGTATGAGTGTAATATAATGATCACTATAGTAAAAAATTTAAAAAAATCATCAATGGACCCAAAATATACACTAAAAAAATACGGGATTGACACGGATTTTGGCACGGATTTGGCACAGATTTTGGCAGGGATACACCAAATTCCGTGCCAATCCCGCCTTTTTTGTAGTGTATAGCATTGTCGTAAAAGTTGTTGAGACTAGGATGAATTATTATTGCTTTGAAAAAGAAAATAACATTAATGTTTAAAAGCTAAAACATTATTTTAGCGAGCGCATTATAACATAAATTGATAAAAATATATAAGAGCCACATACATTCAATTTTTTTAACACATACACTCTATGACTCTACTACGTATTAGATAGGTTGTTTTATCTAGGTGTATAATATGTTTTAAAATTTAGATAAAGGTAAAATTAAATTGCATATGACTTTGGGATAAAGTTTCGAGACCAATGCAGCCATATGATACACGGCATTGTATTTAAAAATTTAGAGGGCCTTAAAAGATTTACACTGCTTGATTTGATGTAAATTGTAGAACACTTTTTAATATTTAATTTGATTACACTTTTGAAATATTAATATGATCATTAATATAATTAAGGCGGAAGTTAATTAATAATAGTGTTGACCAATTTTTATGATGGGTCTAAAACTGTCACAAACGGGCAAAATCGTCCAACCAAACCTTCAATAGCGGACGAAACACTCATTGAGCATTAATTACTTCTCCTATAAATAGAAATGAGCCCCATTATAAATCATATTCATTCTTACTCGATTACATTGAATACAACTCTTGATTTCTAGCATAATTAACTTACTTCTTGATTTTCTTATTGTTTTTGTACGAAAAAACAGGCATAAAAAACATAAAATAAACATATTATTGGATTTTACCTGACCATATGAGACTAGTACGCTCCAAATCGGATGATTCATAATCTTTCAATCCCAAGTGAAAACTCTCATAGAGTTGATAAAGATGATTGATATAAACACTTTAAATCTTTAAAAATTACCATATATAAGTTAATTTTTTTGAGAGAATACGTAAGTTAATTTAATCTATCAAATGTAAACAACGAGAAAGTTTTCTTATTTTTCCCATGTGAAAACCGTATTCTAAATGGTGTTACTTATAGAAGAATAAAAAAAGATAAGCAACTTGAATTATTTATTTAAAAGTTAGTCATATACAATTATAAATAAGCAGATAAGCATTGACAAATCAATCGTTTCAAAATCGACCAAAACTAAGAAGCTGTTCTCTTCGCCTGATCTGAATGTTTCTGATCTGAATTTTTTAAGTTCTGATCTGATCTGATCTGAATTTTTCTGATCTGATCTGATCTGATCTGAATCTTTCTGATCTGATCTGATCTGATCTGAATCTTTCTGATCTGATCTGAATCTTTCTGATCTGATCTGAATGTTTCTGATCTGGTCTGATCTGATCTGAATGTTTCTGATCTGATCTGAATCCTTCTAATCTGATCTGAATCTTTCTGATCCGATCTAATTTGAATATTTCTATAATTATAATTATAATAATAATTATTATAATTATTAAAATTGTAATTAAAAATATAATTTAAATAAAATTATAATTATAATCCTAACTATAATAATAATAATAATAATTAAAATTAAATTTAAAATGAAAAAAGTTATACCTATTACACTAATTATAAATATAGATACAATTATAATTGTAATTATATTTTTAATTATAATTAATTATGTAATTATAACTGTAATTATAATTACAATATTTATCTCTATAATTGTAACTATAGTTATCAATATTATTATAATTAATCCGTAAAATAATTACAATAGTAATAATAATATTATTAATAATAATTATAATAAAAATAATAATTATAATCATAATTTATAATTATAATATAATTATAAGTATAATTATATTAACAGTAATTATAATATTATAATATAATAATAGTAATATAAATACAATTAATATTATTATAAAGATATTATTATATTAATATTATTATTACAATAATATAATAATAATATGATTATTGTTATTATAATAAGTATTATATTATTATAATATTATATTATAATTATATTTATAATCATAATTGTAATTATGATTGTAATTATAAATATAATTATTATAATTAATTATAATTATAATTAATTATACTTATAATTATAATAATTATAATTGATTATACTTATAATTATAAGAATTATATTATAATATTATAATAATATTAATTATATTATTATAATTATTATATTGTAATAATAATAATAATAATATAATAATAATAATAATAATAATAATAATAATAATAATAATAATAATATTAATAATATTAATAATAATAATAATAATAATAATAATAATAATAATAATAATAATAATAATAATAATAATAATAATAATAATAATAATAATAATAATAATAATAATAATAATAATAAAAGTGAAAACTTTTCTGATCTGATCTGATCTGAATGTTTCTGATCTGATCTGAATGTTTCTGATCTGGTCTGATCTGATCTGAATCTTTCTGATCTGATCTGAATCTTTCTGATCTGATCTGAATCTTTCTGATCTGATCTGATCTGATCTGAATCTTTCTGATCTGATCTGATCTGATCTGAATCTTTCTGATCTGATCTGATCTGATCTGAATAAAATAAGAATAAGCAATAAGTAATAAGAATAAGACGAACAGAACAGCACCTAAGCTGATCAAACCAGTTTTAGCTTAAAAATGGAAAAGTGAGCCCAAATGAATTAACTTACTCAATTCAACTAAAAAATGACCAAACAAAAACACCAAAAGAATCGAACTAACTAATAAGCAGCCTCTAGATTGCACAAAAAGAAAAGCCTACGAAAAATGGAAACTAATAATCTAACCTTTTAGCGATCTTCTTACAATAGTCCCACATTTTCGTTATTCAAGAATAATCCAACCTTTACACATCATCTTCATTCACTGGTCCCTGACCGTTTGATGACCTGCTATTCATAGTTATTTTCTTATCTTTGCAAAACATTATACCATAAATCTCACCTTTCACAAAGATAATATTTTGCAAAGATAAGAAAATAACTTGGAATAGCAGGTCATTAACTGGTGAGGGACCATCGAATGAAGATTGGGATGCAAATGTTGGATTATTCTTGAATAACAAAAATGTGAAACTATTATAAAAAGACCGTTAAAAGGTTGTATCATTAGTTTCCATTATCCCAAAACGCATGAATTTTGAATTTTTGATATTATCCTTCCGGACTCAGCCATGTCCTATCGAGTCCCGCCTTCTCCCTCGCTCAGTTTTACTTGGGCCGTTTCTGTATAAAAAAGAAAATAAAAAGAAAAGGAAAAAACACTTTGGCCGTTAGTTTCCTGCTCAATAATTCAGCATTGCTGTTTACCACTCACTACCACCTGATCATCATTGTTACGGAGTATAAACAAGAAAACTTCATTTGTTCAGCTCAAAATCTGCGGAGAGAAATCTCAAGATTATACATCAGTTATGGCGAGGCACGAAGAGCTCCCAGTCCCAATCTACTCTATTCTAGAGCCTGTCTATGGCGCCGGATCTCAGTCGGAAGAAGCGGAGCACCGCTTCAGTCGTCTCAAGTCCAAGTTCATCGAATTCTACGGCCACCCTCCCGAAATCTACGCTCGCTCCCCGGGTGAAATGCCTTTTCTTGTTCTCTCTTAGAATCTTTCCTGCGTTAGTTTATTGGGTTAGTGGGGAATTGGGGATTGATTTGGCTCTTAATTTTGCTTTGCTTCCGTGTTTTGTAATGAGTAGGGAGAGTGAATTTGATTGGAGAACATATAGACTACGAAGGTTACTCTGTCTTGCCCATGGCTATTCGTCAAGACACTATCGTCGCTATCCGGAAACGCAGTGCTGATGAGCCCGAGAAGTTTCTCAGGATTGGGAATGTCAGCGAGAAATACGCTATCTGTACTTATCCTGCCGATCCTGATCAGGTGTTCCGCCTTTCCCTGAGTCATTACCATTGCATAATGCAGTATTGCATTTTTAAGTAAGAATAACTTAGTGGTTAATCAAATGTTGTTATAAAGCTGAATTCTTAGCATTTGATTTTCTAAGCTTGATTCGTTAAATGTTGGTATAAGCACAAAATGTACTTGGTAATTTGGACTATGTTTGTTTGTGACTTTACTGGTAGTAGTCTTGTTTATAAGACATAGGGGGTGTTTGGAACTGATTCTGCTTCTGCGTCTTTTTTAAAGCAGAAGCAGAATCAGAATCAGTTTTCAGAAGCTGGTACCTACCAGCTTCTAAAAAAACTGATTCTGAGAGTAAATTGGAGCACCAGAAGTGCTTCTGGAATTTCAGCCAAACACTCCAGCTTCTGCTTCTGCTTCCTGAAGAAGCAGAATCAGTTTTGAGAATCTAATCCAAACACCCCCATAGCCCAAGACAGCACCTTTTATAGTTTTTGTCAGGGTTTTGCAAAATGTTTATAAAGAAAGTATTTTTTGTGGCTACAGGTGATTGATCTTAAGAATCATAAATGGGGTCATTATTTTATTTGCGGGTAAGATCTAGTTTTTATGTCCAAATTCTACTTTTCCCATGACAGGTTTAGTAGTTTCTTTTATTCAAAGAATTTTTTGTTGACATCACGTTTTCATTATACGATTTCTTCAGATATAAAGGGTTTTACGAGTACGCCAAATCGAAAGGAATAGATGTGGGTGTACCAGTTGGACTTGATGTTCTTATTGATGGCATAGTCCCAACAGGTAGGATAGTTATTTATGCATTATGTTTTGGCTGTATGGAACACTGCAATAACTGCTAATGCATGTGCTTGGATTCCGAGTCTCTTACTCATTGCCTGTGTGGGTAGGTTCTGGACTCTCAAGCTCTGCTGCATTTGTTTGCTCCGCCACCATAGCTATAATGGCTTCTTTCGGTGTCAGCTTCCAAAAGGTACGAATTGTCGAATTTCCATATGAATGTCATCCATGCGACCATGCCTTAAGAGTTTGAATTACAAAATATAATACAGAGTTGGTTTTATGAGTTGTGATTGCTTTTTTCAGAAGTGAAATAATGTTTCTTCATTATTCACAGAAAGAACTTGCTCAACTTACTTGTGAATGTGAAAGGCACATTGGCACACAATCTGGTGGAATGGATCAGGTATGACTATAAACTTGTCTCACATTTTGGTAATGATCTACACTGATTGTTACGAGGTACCCCTGAGAAGGTTCCATATGAATTTGTTTCTCATTGATTCAAGGAAAGCCTTCTCTGTTTATTTGATTTTTCAAGTCAATGTTTTTATATGAATAGTGATGTATGTGCATATATATATATATATATTCTTTCAAAAAAATAAATGTGTGTATATATATATACTGTTATCCTGCAGGCAATTTCTATCATGGCTCAATCTGGATTTGCAGAGTTGATTGATTTCAACCCAATACGTTCAACTGATGTTCAGCTTCCTGATGGCGGATCTTTTGTTATAGCTCACTCTTTAGCTGAATCCCAAAAGGCAGTCACTGCTGCTGTACACTACAATAACCGGGTCGTTGAATGCAGGCTAGCTTCTGTAGGTCTTCTGTATTCTTTTAGCAGAATATGTGTTTATACTCTCTAGTGATGTGGTCTATAGTTATCTATTTTACATTTTTATGAACCTCCATTTGTGTTTATTGTATTGTTTTGCAGATTGTTCTGGGCATCAAGCTTGGGATGGATCCTCATGAGGCAATATCGAAAGTGAAAACACTTTCTGATGTTGAAGGCTTATGCATATCATTTGCTACTGATCGTGGATCTTCTGATCCTGTCATTGCAGTCAAGGTAACATCAGCTTTCCCTGATTTAAATGTGAACGACTTTTACAGTTTTGCTTGCAATGTGAACCATTTATTCAAGAAGTGTAGATATGTATTCATTATCATTATCTAGTTCTTTTTTTATAATGTGGGTGTTCGGGACCTTTGGCACGAATAAGCCCGTGGGTGCCAACGTTGACAACCGGGCAGGGGATTAGAACTGTAGGCCTCAAAGAACTGTTTGTTCTTTTCATTATCATTATCTAGATCATCAAATTTAGTCCATAAGATCTATGTGTTGGTGTATCAGGAACTTTTGAAGGAAGAGCCATATAGTGCTGAAGATATTGAAAATGTTACAAAAGAAAACCTTCAAACCATCTTTGCCGATTCCCCATCCTCTTTGGATGTTCTAGAAGCTGCAACCCACTTCAAATTATATCAGGTATTCAAACCAAACCACTCATGTTATCTCTGCGATTCTGCCCGGACTTAAACCTGCTATGGGTTTTTTCATTTGAATGTGTTATCAATAGTTTAACATTCACATTTTCCATCCAGAGAGCTGCTCATGTTTATTCTGAGGCTAAGCGTGTATACGCTTTTAAAGATACAGTATCATCAAGTCTAAGGTATGTCACAAATCTCTAATGCAAATTTAGTTGTTGGCTTATAACTACTTTTGTCGTGTACTTGGTCCTTATTTTACCCAGCTTATGGCTGATCTTTTTCAAGTAAATAAGCATTTTACTATCAGACTCAGCCCTCATGTTGCATGTGAGCTTCATAAAAAGATCAGTTTTACATTATAGATTTATAGTCCATATATGATAGATTTCGTAATTGGTTTGGGTCGCTTTACTGGGTCAAGCAACACTAAAACTCTGAATGAGAGGAAAGCTACTCTAATAGTTTAATTTATGAAATTTTAAATGTAATTTTTCACCCTTTAATATTTCAATGTGGGAAACAGTCTCTCTGTGCTTAGGGGTAAGACTGCGTGTAAGACTGCGTACATCCGACCCCCCCTTACCCCACCATAGGTGGGAGCCTTTGCGGCATTGGGGTAGTGATGATGATGATGATGATGGACATTCAACTTACGTACATACCCGCCAAATTGTAAAAATATATGTGGACTTCAAGCAAAAAGAAAAAGAACTTCGAGCTTCAAATTTAAATTTCAATTGTCTCACTTGACAGTGAGGATGAAAAGCTGAAGAAACTTGGTGATCTTATGAATGAGAGCCATTACAGTTGCAGTGTTCTCTACGAGTGCAGGTAACCTTTGGTATTTTTGTTGTATAAAATCTATATTGGGTTCCTATATTACTGGGAAGACCTCCATGAAACCAACAAAATGCTTAATATCTGCATTTTGTTATTTATAGGAACATAAGTAGTAGTTTTGCTTGCACTCTTTAAACTAGAGTTTTATTGCATACTTTTATCAACCTTTATTTTGTTTGCTATTGTTGTATCTGTAAAAAAACAGCTGTCCTGAGCTGGAAGAACTTGTAAAGGTTTGTCGCGATAATGGTGCTTTGGGGGCACGGCTTACAGGAGCTGGATGGGGTGGTTGTGCTGTGGCTCTTGTAAAAGAAAGTCACATACCTCATTTTATACTCAATTTGAAGGTTTGTTTACTTCCTTCACTTGATCCAAGTTGTGCTGCGCCCATTTAGCTGAAGCTGAAATCATAGAATTTCAAAATTTGATGGGACTGAACCTGAAATGGCAGAGCATGCTGATTTATATAAACTCTCTCTCTCTCACAAACACATAGACACACACGCATCTGTGCACACACATTTTATAGAGTACCTCTTATGAACATTAAGCCCAACTTTATAAATGAGAACTTTCGTTTTATAGGATGAGTTCTTATAGAACACCTTATTGGCTTATCGTAAGGCCATCTTTTATAAATGACAACTTTTAATCTTTTATTTTTTCAATCCATGGCTAACAACCCTAACAATTACAAGGTAATTGTTTTTTACTATCATTAAAAAACCCTGAGATTAAACCTTCATTCTTTCTTGTAACTATCATTGATTAGCCATCCTGGATTGATTCACGAGGGCAACTTGAACACTTTCTCATCCTTTTTTTGTAACTATCCTTGCACAAACCTTCATTTATCATTAGAAAAATGTATGGTAGAGATTAAAAGTGTTCGTAATAAAATTTGCACATGTAAGAGATGTTCTTATGAAAACCATTCCACACATAGGTAATTGGGTGAGACGAGTCACTTAACTTCATTTTAGAAAAAAAAATAACTCCTTATCCCTGCTATTTTTCTACTATCTGTTGATTCAGCTTCTAAAATGAGATCATATTTGGTATAAGTCCTTCCTCATAAGTTTTTTTTTTGACAATTCCTTGCTCATAAGTTAAAAAGGTTAGCTAATCAAATAAAGTTTTTATTTTGTGTTCAATTATGAGGTTTAAAATCTCATCCTTGTTATATATTTCTTTCCAGGACCAATATTATCAATCAAGAATTGATAAAGGAGTCATCAACAGGAATGACCTAGGCATGTATGTTTTTGCTTCCAATCCCTCAAGCGGTGCTGCCATTTTCAAATTCTAGATAAATTTAATCTTCCCTGTTTTCCATTAAACTTTTTAACCCGTTTGTAATGATTCTCATGCACTCATCATTTATTTATCTTAGCAAAATAAAATAATGTATATCTATCCTTTCAAAAAATAATAATGTATATCTGGTGTTTGATGAAATGATGGGAGTCTATTTAATTACAATGACTGGAGTTAATTCCAAATATTAATTAGTCAATTGATTGGGGGCTTCCATTTTAGTTCCTATCTTACTGTCAATTTATGAATTCATTCTCTATGTAGGGTGTGTTTGGTAAAATGAGGGGAGGGAAGGGAATCGACTGTCTTTGTGTTTCCTTGTTCGGTTTAAGACTTTTAGTCAGAAGCGCGGAAATTGAGCTAAATTTAGCCTCCCCCTAAAAAAACTGTATGGATATTATTTAGGGGGTGAACAAGGGTAGAGCGGATTGAGGAACCAGGTGAGTAAGAAGTGGACTGTTTGCTTGGAACTATACTTGCTGATATGTTCAGAACCGGTTCAAAATTCAAATCATTTCTTGTCTCAGTTCTATATTAGAAGTTTAGAACCGAAAGGTCAGATGCTGACCGGTTCAGAATCGATCCAAATCGATTCTGGTTTTAGTTCCTCCATATTAGAATCAGATCCGATCAGTTCTTGTTTAAGTCTGTTCGGATCAGAAGCTTGTATGCAACTAATGGTCGATGGCACCACTCAGAGGAATAGAGGATGGATACCTTGAGCAGTTTCTTGTCCTTTTCTTAAATAAATGAGGGCAGGGAATCATTTTCTCCAGGTGAGTAAGAACTAAGAAGTAGGTTGTTTGCCTGGAACTTCGGTTGTTGACTTGTTTGGAACTGGTTCAAATCGTTTCCAGTCTCAGTTCTTCCACATTAGAACCAAAACTTTAGATGCCGATCAGTTCGGAAACAAAAAACTTACTCCGTATTTGATACCCTCACCCAAGGACCGATGAGTAAGTAGCTTATTACTCGATGTGGAGCAAACACTTCACTCAGTTCACTCATTTGTCTAATGTTTGCTCCAGGGTTTGAGTCACATACTCACATGTCCATGAGGTCTGTGTAAGTCTATCGCACTACATTTTTTGCCCGTATTTGGTTAAGTGCAAATTAGACCCTTTCATGTTATGTTTATAGATCTATGGGGTTATGTGAAGTTGGTGGAGGGAAAGTGATGAATCTTTCTTCTTATTTGAGATTGAGAGTAGTAAATTTGGAAAAAAGAAAATCTTAAAAAGGAATTATAATTCAAATCATCTGAGGTATGGTGAATTCAAATAGTTGAATTGATATTCATTTTAAATTGAGTTTAATTCATCATTTAGTTAATCATCCTTTGAAATCACTCATTTTGGAGGAACTTAAAAATTGAACATTTGAGGGATTTGGAGGGTCACAAAAACCTTCTAAAACCATTCCTTCACATTTTTTACACTCCCAAATTCAAATAATCCGGTCATCAACCTCATATGTCTTTCCCCCATTCCCAAAAATCAACTCCCAAACACATCCTAAAGGTGATATTGTCAAATAAGTTTTTGTATCATAGCGAAAAAGTCAATCAAACCATTCTACTAAATATTTAATCATTCAAATGCATCCCTTAATGGTAGATTGGTAGGGAAACTGAAGTAAGCTCCATTTAAGGCTAGACAACCATGAACTATACACGAAGCCATAGTTGGCCCGAAAATGCATGCTACTCACAAAAAACACGGGATTGACAGAGTTTTATGGCAGAAGTTCTCCCAAAATGACAGAGATTTTGGTAGGAACATGTCAAATTTGTGATAAAAATAGTTTGGCACGAGCTATTTGGCATAAAATCGTCGGTGAATCCATGTCAAATCCGTGACAATTCCATATTTTTTTTGTAGTGAATGGACATAGGTCATCGGTCGATGACGTTGCTGAACTCAAGTCAAAAGGGTAACACTCCTTTGGAGTCCAGCGTGATAATCGATGGATGGGTCTCACCTAACGTATGTGAACATCTATTTTTTGTCTGTAAAAACTAAACAACCAATTCAGAGACAAAAAATAGCTATTCAGATACGTGTATATAATAAAGTGTGTAAGGGAACAATTTTTGAATAATAATCACTTGACAATCTTGTGAAGTAGCTTGAAGTGAAAAGCTGAACTCTTGAAATCCCAATATAGTCCAACCTCGTCCTCCACCGCCATGCCCCGCTCTTTGAACAGATCCATGCACGCCAGAATGTAATCGTCGCCGGGAAGAACTTCGAACCAGCCGCCGTACCTCTTAGGGCTATTTTGCTCCGTCACGTCCCAAAGTACGACGTTGCTCTTCTGCCCCATAACCACCTGGTTGACCATGCAAAGACCCCAGTACCGGAAAACGTGGTCAAACGCGTCGGCGAACGGCACCACCAGCTTCCCGGCGATCGCCTCGTAATGCGTTAGCACTTTTCTGATCTGCCATGGGTTCGCCGGATCCGCCATCGGCGGCGGGAAGACGTCACGCAGCTCCACCAGCGTACGTTGCACTTGCCACGTGCCGGTGCCGGCCATGCACGCCTCTTCTTCAACCTTGCTTGGGATAAAGTTGTAGAAGAAGGTCTTTTTTAACATCTGTAAGAATTTACGATTTGATTTCCGGCTGTTTTGAATAATGTATATATATGCAGGAAGAATTGGAGTTGTAGTTAAAGAAGATTTGATTTTCCGTCTGAAGTCTATATGGAATGGGACGGAATTGGCAATTATTTCTTATAAATATAAAATACCTTCCTTTCCCGTTTATTTTATGAGATCTTTTAATATGGTGTATTCTTTACTTTTAATATATACAGTATGATGTATATTTCTACAATTGAGTTCACAGTTTAATTTTTAAATCAAACTTTTGTAATTTGAAGGATATTTTTACCAAAAGCTTCTTCAATTCCAAACTTTCATATTTGGAAACTTGATCTCAATTTTTTAATCCCCTGTCCTAATTTAAAGTTTTCGGATTTCACTTCCCTTTTTGGAAGTCACATCTAACCATTTTCATACATACGTAGTATTTTAGAAAATAATTAGCACTCAATCTTAAATGCTAATTTGATCACCAAATATTAATAATAACACATCTATAATATCACATTTATCACCAATGACTCCATTATATTATATATCTATCAATACAATTTTTCAAAATATACTCAAATTTACTTATTTAATAATTTATCTAAATATTAACCCTGTCATTTTTCAATGAAAACCTTAAGTCAGGACGAATATAGTATTTTTTGTAAGTAACACAAAGTTTTGAAAGTCTGATCTGATCTGTTCAAGACTAGCGTGGTCTCACTGCTACTACAAAATTATCTTAAGAAGTCGCCCTTTACGTATCGCTTTTGTATTGCATGTGATATTTAAAGTTTAAGAGTTGCTTCATAAAAATTAAATGACTTAATAGTCGCCTTTTATCCATCGCTTTTGTATTTAATGTGATGCTTAAAGCTTAAGAGTCGCTTTGTATCAATTAAGCGACACATAAATTAATTTTATGTAGCATTTGTCTAAGTATGTGATCCAGATACTTTTAAGAGAATTTTTAAGTATCTCTTTGTTGTATCGCTTCGTAATAAAAACTGATGCGTAAAAGTACATAATAAGTGCCAAGTACCTTGTGGTCTCATCCTAATTCAAAGATGTTGGTTTAACCAAACATATACTATACTAGGTTATAAAGATTTGCAAAAAAAAAAAACTTAATAAAATGGAGTATCAAATATCACAATAGCATAGTTAACTTTGACTCTCTAAGGCCATTCCTGAAACTCTTTGAAGCTATTCCCCACGGGGGAATTGCGATGGACAGAGGGGATGCTCGGGTCCTTCCCAGGCTATTTGAGGAGGACAACGGGGTAACACCCCGGCCCCGCAGGACCCGGGGTAGTTACTCATACACATCCTCCGGACCTCTAGTACTGTCCTCACAAACTGTCACTAGCCTTTTCCGCGCACTTTGTCCTCACTTGTGCACGCCCTAAGAAACTTCCCAGGGGTCACCCATCCCAAGACTACTCCCGTGCAAGCACGCTTAACTTTAAAGTTCTTAGCGGATGAACTCCCTTAAAAGGAGATGCATCTTGTAAGTATGAGTAGTACTATTAATCCGTTTAAATTAAATCTCAAGTGTTACAATCGCCCCCACTTAGGATCGCAACGTCCTCGTTGCGCCCATAAGCCAATTCAATCTTAATCATATCCCAGAATCTTTCCCTGCTAAATGCCCGCCCGATATCCAACGGATCAGCGCATTGTCGCAGGGTTGCTCTGATACCACCTGTAACACCCCGGCCCTGCAAGACCCGAGGTAGTTACTCCTACACACCCTCCGGACCTCTAGTATTGTTCTCACAAACCGCCGCTAGCCTTTTCCGCGCGTGCACTTTGTCCTCACTCGTGCGCGCCTTGAGAAACTTCTCAGGGGGTCACCCATCCCAAGACTACAACCATGCAAACACGCTTAAATTTGGAGTTCTTATTAGTGGATGAACTCCCTTAAAAGGAGATGCATCTTGTTGGTATGGGTAGTACTGTTAATCCGTTTAAATTAAATCTCAGGTGCTACAAACGGGCTTTCCCTTGACGAATTCAATGATCTAAGATTCGAGGGACAAAGAGTTGGCCCGGAAGATGATGAAATCTGTCGTTTCTGTGTAGCGCGGATTCATTTGGGCATTGTCGATTCAGAGGTACTCCTCGAATCTTGATATGATTTTAGCTACCGCAGCCTGTGAATATCCGCTAGCTGCCACCGTGCAGATCAGCGAAAGCACCAAGAGCAGATGGAGAAAGTAGAATTGAGCAAAATCATTTCGACGGAGGGGAAGACAACACTTAGAATGCTTTCCACGATTCATCTAATTCCCTGCATAGCTGGGCTGGATGATCACGAGAACTATAATTCTACAACAGTGTGAGTAATAACTCTGTAATCGGATGATCTCCCAGCTTCTGTCCTGTGACTTCTTTCCTCGTGAACATTCTATTTGAGTTTACAAGTCTTGTGATTTCTCTATTGTGATTTCTCTCATTGACCTAATTTGGATTTTGTTTCCTGAAGGTTACTTCTTTTAGGAGAAAAGGGTCGATTCAGTACATGAAGTAGTGCTCGGTGGAGTAAAGAGTACACCATTTTGAAAATCAGTTAAAACGGTACATCTTTTGGCCGTTTTAGCGTTGAACAAGTACTTAGGGTACCGGCCTGTTAAAAAACA